AAACATACCAAATAATTGTCCGAATAAAACCAAACCAGATTTTGATGGTATTTCAAGATTATCCATTAATGTGCACGCGCGAATTATTGAATCTTTATTATGCGAAGCGATCATAAGAACTATAGGGCTATTCGTAATATCTAATGGCTTTCCTGCATTTCTTTGCATTTCATTAATTAAGAATTCAACTCCATGGTCGTATGAATTATGTGTATCTTGCAAAGTATCGTGAATAGGATCAGGATAATTTTCAATGGCTGCACGCTTACATTCGCTTACCAAATATGCCCCACGAACAAGTTTAACCGCAAATACAAATTGATGACGACGGGAAAGTTCATAATGCATGGCTAGTCGTGTTCCAGCATCTTTGAAATACATTTGATATGTGTTGAATACAATAGGCCCGTGCCCGTTATTTAACTTATTGTATCGATGAGCAAGTGTTAGTGCTACATGATCAATAATTGGTCGAAAATATAATTTCTCTGCACCAATCAGTAGTCGGACTTTTTTCTGTTGGGCACTTTCACATATTTTGTTTAGTCGACCCAGTAACTTATCGTAATCTTCCAAATCTGCATTCGTCACTAACGCATTATTGTTAGTAGTAGTAGTAGCGGAAAATAATATTCTGAATTCTTTATTGTCTGGCGAAAGTACGCTAATAAAATCAATCCAATCGATAACACCGTCCTTATCAGAGTCTATTGTATTGAAAAGTTTCCTTGAAATATTGTCCGAATCAGTTTGAAAAATCTCCCTTATCATCGAATCAAATTCAGATCTGTTTAATTTGTTATCATTTTTAGCAGCGTGCTTATGAAATGTCTCTGATAGAGAATTCAAAAAAGTGGAAAATCGCTTCAAGAAAACCGGATTTGAGAGGCCAGTAACTCCGATAGAGACAAAATTGTTTGGTCTAATGGAAGCATTTTCAATTGCATGGATCTTCATACGCGCAACATAGTCGGCTTGTTCAACCCATTTCTCTCGAATAGCATCATTATCCAAATCGTAATATCCGTCATCTAAATCTGTCTCGCTAAGCAAATTAAGGATAGACTCAATTCCATGTTTTTTCAAACTAGACATTGTGCTCTCACAATCCTCCGCTGTTTCGCCGCTTTTTTGCAGAAAAATAGATCAATTGTTATCAAAATTAAAAAATCTGAAATAAAACAAATTAAGACTTACCCGCAAAATTGAGCAAAAAAAGTTCTTTTGATCATCCAATACATAGGAGATCCAAGATGTAATTTTTCCGCCAAAGAAATTAGATAAGGTGCCTGATCAATCAGCATCTGATACGAACATAGCTTATATACCATCAGAGAACGGATCAATTCAAGTATTGATTTATCTTGAACAGCTATACAATTGTCTTCCAAAGCGAGTTCTTCCTTTAGAGAAGGCAAATGATATTGTATTTTCAACGGCGATTCGTTTAAAGAAATATTATAGTATGA